AATTATTCCTTGCGAAATTTTGCATATAGATAGTTTATATATCATACGTGTACTATACATATTGCACATGCTATACACACTATACGCACTATACGTACTGTACGCTAAAAAAAATCTGGATATCATATAAATGGCACATCACTACTTATAACTTACCAGGCATAGGACATTTCCCCTAGAGTGTTTGTCTACGTATAATAAAAACATTTAGTTTTCGCAAAATTACATCTTCAAATTATACAAAATTAGCCAAATTTTAATTTAGTTTTTAAGCTAGATTTTTTCTTCTTTTTTTTTTTGTTTTATATAATCGCAAAATTTAATTTTAAGTTACTTAGTTAAGTTAAAAAGAACCTTTAGCTCAAAGTTTATAGTAAATTTATATGTTTTTATTATAATTTTTATTATAGACAACATTTTAGACTTTTATAATCGTTACATAATTTAAAACGTAATTACGGTAAGTTAAATTTACGTAAATTACATAACAGTCAACGACGGTATAACGATAAGTAATTTGAGCATCCCAGATAATTAAAATTAAATAACTCGTATTGATATACATTATCGCTATACGCACGCACGTAATATTAAAATTGATCGAAACTAGTTTCGGACTTATAGGGCGAAACTGAAAAATAGTTTCGCCTACAACATTAACGTACGTACATATCTAATATCCTTGATCACTAGTAGTCATGGAAAATACTTCAAAATGGCTCGAAGAAGCTATTTCCGCTGGCCATATAAATTATATTGAATATAATAAGTTTAAAAACCGTAAAGTGATTGGTAGAGGAGGTTTTGGAAAGGTATTTAGATGCGAATTTGAAGATAACGAATTCATAGTCGCTCTTAAATGTCTTAAAGTCGATACAAGTTTATATGAAAAAATCGTTAAAGATTTCATTAATGAGGTATTATTTACAGCATTAAAAATTGTAAAATTGTATTATTTCTTTTATTAAATTAATAATTCTTATAATCTATGTAATAAAAGCTTAGACTATTACGAAGTGTTGATTATCATCCGAATATTATTAAATTCTATGGAGTCACTAAAGGTATGCATACAGTTTATATTTTTTTTTTTTCTAGTAATTATATTAAGAATATTTATTATAAATAAATAGACCTTAATGGACATTATAGTATGGTTTTACAATACGCTAATGAAGGAAATTTACAAGAATACCTAAAAAAAAATTTTATAAAATTGCAATGGGCAGATAAATTATATATTGCTAAGGAAATAATACTTGGTCTATCATTCTTACATGAAAATAATATTATTCATAGAGATCTTGTAAGCAGTCTATATAATATTCATATTAAATGTTTATAAGTTATTGTATGAATTTTAATTCGCACAATATACCGATATTTTAGCATTCGAAAAATATTTTAATTCATCAAAGACGACCAATGATTGCAGATTTTGGATTGTCAAAACAGATAAATGAGATGTCGACTTCAAACTCAACACTTAATGGAATGCCAGCATATATCGAACCTCAATGTTTACTTGACGATAACTATAAACGTACTATAGAATCTGATGTCTACAGTTTTGGAGTAATTCTCTGGGAAATTTCAAGCGGAAGACCACCATTGAATATTAATTTTTGGTATTTATAAAAAAAACTTGAACCAGTATAAACTTTAAAAGTTAAATATTATCAATTAGTATATAATGTTATTGCACAAAAAGAGTCGGTATAACAGTGAAAAATTTCCGAGCAACAATCGCTTTGATAATCATTACCAATAAAGGAATCTTGTGCAATGCATACTACGTATATATAACAAATCAACTGAAATATAAAATCTAAATTTTTTTACATTCTCATCTAAGCATGTAAGTATAAGATAAAAAAAAATTCTTATAAATAAGCTTTGAATAATGAATTAGTTCTGATTTTAACAAAAATTAATAAAAAAAAATATATATGAAGCATTTCGATTTTACAATTTTTATATCTACAATTTCGAAAGTTTTTCATTTAATAAATTATAATTAAATGGTTCAACTTATAAGTAAAAAAGAAGATAAAAGTATAAAATTTTCAAAAAAACATTGGAAGCATGATGACCTTCATGTAATTTCATTTACAAAGGCTGGTTTAAGAGGAGGTAAATCTATTATTAATATGTTGATAGTAAATAAGGAATTGGATGTTTACCATTATGATAAAATTTAGATAATCAAGATGGAATGTCTATTGAATTTGGATTGGATGATGAATTAAAAGGATATTACTTATTTGGAGTGTATGATGGTCATGGAGGTATTACGTCACAATGTCTTATATTAGTAAAAGATAAAATTAATAATTTCTTTTTATAAATAGAACAAGGAGATAAAATTTCGGAAGATTGTGTTAAACGCTTGCCAGAATATATTGCCAAACGTTTATGTGAATTATTACCAATAATTGAAGATGATAAGAAGATAAAAAATGCCATAAAAATGGGATTTGATGATACTGAAAATTATTTCAAAACACTTGACGTTAAAGGGACAAAAGGAAATAAAGTTCGAATGTCTGGTACAACGGCACTAACGGTTATGATGACACCTAAAAAGAATTTATATATTGTAAGAATATTATTATTATTATTATATTATATTATTATTATTATTATTATTATGCCGATATTGATGAATTTTTTATTTGAAAAATAAACAGGCATTTGCTGGAGACTCTTCTGTGTTTATCGTGTCATCAAATAAATCAGAAAAGATTAATATAGAGCATAATTGTCACAATAAAAGTATGTAATTGACCTAATAAGGGAAAATTTATTATAAAATACAGTTGATGTTTGATAATTATTTTAATTAATTTAGATGAACTGTTAAGACTTAGAGCCCATAGAAAACAAGGTTTTATGTATACTATAAAAGCACGTTCAGGTCACAAGTATTTGAGAGGCAAGTATTACCAATATTTGTATATATTTATTATATTTCAATTATTAACTTAATAAATAAATTTTTATTAAAGTAAAAGATAATTTATCTAATGAAATACAATACACGCGTTCACTAAGTGATTTTTATATTAAAAGCTTTTTTTCTGAAGGACTAATAGGTATTATTAAATTATATATGTAAATACGGTATACATAAATGTTTTATCTTTTTTTTTTTTTTTTAAAGCCCATTATTTATATATTTCCGTGACTGATGCTGGATACGGAAATTGGGGACTTAATATTAAAATAGATTACAATTTTTAGCATCAGCCGTGAAAATATATATTTAATTAGGCTTAAAAAAGAGTTAAAATATTTTTGTCACCCAATACCCATTTGTATTAGTCTTAATTAAAATTACCTTGATTGATATTGGATTTATATGTTTTAATATTAATAGCTGAACCTGAGATCATTGACAAAGTTTATTCTACATCCAGTCTTGATTTACTTGTGCTGGCTTCTGATGGTATAGTTTATATCTTGTCTCATATATTATATTTTATTATTATATGCACTATATATTTTTAATTATATAAATTATTATTTAATAAATAGGTATCACGGATCGTTTTAAAATATTTAAAAAACATCCTACAGAGATTTATTTAAGCTTTCTAAAAAAATATAAAGGGGATTCAGATCGATTTATTAAAGCCTGTAATGAAATGATTAAATTGTGTGATTATATAACCGAAAAACGAATTTGTATAGATGATATGTCTATTATAATTATTATAATTTTGAATGGAAAATCTGAGGATGAATGGTATAGTACTGTTACGAAAAATGTTGAGAATTTTGAAGATTGGAAAGATTGGATTAATACATGTAGTGAAGAAGATTTATCAGAAATTGATGATTTAGATATTTACAACAAAAATTCTAATGAAGTTGATGATTTTTTAATTTCAGTACCAACAATACCGACTGAATATTATGATGAAGAATCTGCAATGAATTTTACTATTTCTGATGATGATTTTGATTGAGTCACTTTATTTCTCTTTTATTATAATATCAAAAAAGGAGTTTGGATTTAAGAATCTAGGCTCCTTTTACATTTAGACTAATGTATAAGAGTTATCTTTAGAAATATTTTAATTAAGGCTTTGATCCGAATTCATTTACATTAAAAATTGGTTCTAAGATACCATTCTTAATGTATTTAAATAATGTAAAATATTATATAAATAAGTAAGCATAGTAAACTAAGTAAAACACAGTAAACTATTAACGTTTTCATATTATTTTGCAATTAAATAAAAAAAGAATATTTCACTGTGTATGTTTCCGAAAAATAAGGATGAATCAAATTATCGCATGTTCTCAATGGTGTTCATCAAAAATCAAATAAATATTTGATAATCAAAGAGCAATACTATTTGTACCCCGTTTTTGCTATTCATACCTCCTATTATAAAAGCTTTTATTAATTTAGATACCAGGATGGGCATTGCTATAGTAGTTTGAAATATTTTTACAAATACTGTATTTTGATAAATTTCAATTCATATATAATTCTGCATCCTGATTGGTTAATTTAGTTTAAAATTTTTTGATATCCCTAGTTACTGCATTCTGATTGGTCTATTTGAAGATTTACAAATTATGGGAATTGTTTTAAAAATAAAAGTTTCTACTTAGGGCTATAAAAACTGAGTATTTATAGAGAAAGTGCATTACAAACTTTATATACTTGGGACCAAACTAACAGGTATATTTAGAGAGTTTATTTAGTTAGTGCATTTATAAAGGTGCATTAGAGAGGTTTCTCTATAGACAAGATCAGCATGGAATTCAGAATTTCCGTGCATTATGAATTTAACACTTATTAATACTAGGAAAACGGGATCCGTTGGATTCCGGAGCGCCGCTTCACTTCGAACAATGTTGTCATGTGAATAATATATTA